ATGACTTGAATGTTGTGGTGATGGACGAGGTTGAGGAAGCTATAATGAGTAAGTCTGTGAGAAGAGAGGGGTCTAAGGAGAATTTGGGGGAGTGTAATGTCCTTTATGCTCTATCCTTGGGGTCATCTTTTTTAGTGGAACATGAATATGATGTAAGGAGAGGGGGTGAAGATGTTGTGGATGATCAATTGGGATTGGTAAGTGAAACTGTGCCTTCTTATAAGGGGTACTACTCAGATTAGGGCAGTTCCAAAACTCATAGAGATGTAACTGTTGATTCTGACAGTTCTTTTCATGAGGAGGATGAAAGTACTAGACTTAGTTCTTGTGGTAAGTCTCCCTCTATTAATTCATGATTAATTTCATTTCCTGGAATATGAGGGGAGTAGAGAAAGATGCCAAGAGAAGGAGATTAAAGAAGCTTATAAAGATGAATGATGTGTGTTTTGTGGCTGTTCAGGAGTCTAAACTGTTAGTTTGTAAATTGCCTTCTTTTGCTAAGTGTATTGGCATGAAGCAATTTTGTGTTAATACCTTGGCAGAGAGGAATATTTGGATTTTATGAGATGATAGAGTGAGTATTAAGATGTTGTTTGAGCATGAACAGGTGCTAACTGTGGAAATGAGTTTCATGAGTTTTGAGGTGTTTTGGGTTTCTATGTTATGTGCAAAGTGTGATCAGATATTGAGAAGAGTATTGTGGCAACATTTGAATGAGGTTGTTGTTCCAGTAAACATGCCTTGGTTAGTGGTTGGTGACTTTAGTTTAGGGTTTAGGGTTTAGGGTTTAGGGTTTAGGGTTTTAGGGTTTAGGGTTTAGGGTTTAGGGTTTAGGGTTTAGGGTTTAGGGGTTTAGGGTTTAGGGTTTAGGGTTTAGGGTTTAGGATTTAGGGTTTAGGGTTTTAGGGTTTAGGGTTTAGGGTTTAGGGTTTAGGGTTTAGGGTTTAGGGTTTAGGGTTTAGGGTTTAGGGTTTAGGGTTTTAGGGTTTAGGGTTTAGGGTTTTAGGGTTTAGGGTTTAGGGGTTTAGGGTTTAGGGTTTAGGGTTTAGGGTTTAGGGTTTAGGGTTTAGGGTTTTAGGGTTTTGGGTTTAGGGTTTAGGGTTTAGGGTTTAGGGTTTAGGGTTTAGGGTTTAGGGTTTTAGGGTTTAGGGTTTAGGGTTTAGGGTTTAGGGTTTAGGGTTTAGGGTTTAGGGGTTAGGGTTTAGGGGTTAGGGTTTAGGGTTTAGGGTTTAGGGTTTTAGGGTTTTAGGGTTTTAGGGTTTAGGGTTTAGGGTTTAGGGTTTAGGGTTTAGGGTTTAGGGTTTAGGGTTAGGGTTTAGGGTTTAGGGTTTAGGGTTTAGGGTTTAGCATGATCAAGTATTGACTGTGGAAATAACTTTTCTGAATTCAATTATTTTTTGGATCTCAATTGTATATGCTAGTTGTGATCCTTTTGTAAGAAGGCTATTATGGGATCATTTGTTGGGAATTGATATTCCCTCTGATGTCCCTTGGATGGTGGTTGGTGATTTCAATTCAATCCTCTCTTCTGATGAAAGATTGGGGGGAGCCCCTCCTTCTCAGCAGTCTATAGAGGATTTTGGTGATTTTGTAAATCATAGGGGTTTGCTGGATGCTGGTTTTGTGGGCAATAAATTTACCTGGTGTGATAACAGGAATGGGGGAATCAGAATGAAGCAGAGGTTGGACAGAGCTCTGATTAATGCTTGCTGGAATTTGAAATTTGATAGTATGGAAGTGGCTCATTTAGCAAGGGGCTCCTCTGATCATAGCCCTTTATTGATGAAAATCATGGATGCTCCTGTACAGAAAAGACTCTCTTATTTTAGATTTCAAGACATGTGGTGTGATCATGAGGAATTTTTGATCTGATTAAAGCAAATTGGGGAGGGCACTATTCAGATAATCCAATGTCAAATTTGTTCATCAAGATGAAATATTTGAAGGCTCATATGAAGATGTGGAATAAAAATGTGTTTGGAAATCTCTTTGACAAATTGAGAAATCTGGAGCAAAAAATAAGTTTGTTGGAACAGGAGGTAGATCAGAGGTTTTCTGATTCACAAGACATAGAGTTAAAAGCTGCTAAGAATGAGATGGATGATTGGCTAAGAAGAGAAGAAACTTATTGGAAGCAAAAGTCAAATATAAAATGGGCTGTACAGGGGGAAAGGAATACCAGATTTTACCATTCTATTGCTAAAAGTAGAATGGTTAGAAATAAAGTCTCAAGAATCAAGAATAAAGAAGGGGTATGGGTATGTGGGAATAAGCAAGTGGCTGAGGTAGCTGAGGAATTTTATGTTGATCTTTACAAGTCTGAAAGGCATATCATCAATGAACAAATTTTTGTTGATGTTATTCCTAAGCTCATCAGTCAAGAGGATAATGAGAGGCTCACAGCTGAAGCCACTTTGGAGGAATTGAAAGATGTGGTCTTCTCAATGGCAGTTGAAAGTGCCCCTGGGCCTGATGGTATGTCTGGTATGTTTTTTAGATTTGCCTGGGATATTATTAAAATTGATGTGGGCAGAGCTGTTAACTTTTTGCTAGCAGGAGGTGCAATGCCTAAATCTGTGAATTCCACTTTGTTAGTATTGATTCCTAAGAAGGAAAATCCATGTTCATTTGCTGATTTCAGACCTATAAGCTTATGTAATTTCTTATATAAGATCTTTACAAAGCTTCTGAATACTAGACTTTCTTCCCTTCTTCCTGCTTTAATTTCTGAAGAACAACATGGCTTTGTACAAGGCAGAGGTATTGGAGATTGTGTGGCCTTGGGACAGTTGCTTGTTGGAGAATTAGACAGAAAGGTGGATGGTGGGAATATGGTTATGAAATTGGATATGATGAAAGCATATGACAGGATGGAATGGGATTTTTTGTTGAGGGTACTGGCTGGCTTTGGCTTTTCTGATTTGTTTAATCAAATTATTTTGAATTGTTTGAGTAGCCAATTCTTTACCATTTGTTTAAATGGCCAAAGATATGGTTATTTTGCTAATTCAAGGGGGTTAAGACAGGGAGATCCTCTCTCCCCTTCCTTATTCATCCTGGCTGAGGAAGTGCTGAGTAGAGGGCTAAGAAGAATTTATCACCAGAATTTGGTGAAACATTTCCATATTGGGAGAGGAACAACAATTGTTAGCCATTTGCTATTTGCTGATGATACTCTGATTTTTCTAAGAGGTAATAAATCCTCTGTAGTGAATGTTTTGCAATTTATTGAGTTGTATGAATCATGCTCTGGACAGAAGGTTAACAAAATGAAAAGTGCTGTCTACTGCTCCAAGCTGATCTCTCTAGCTAGAAGAAATAGGCTGGCTGCTGTGATGGGGATTCCTTTGAAGAATTGTCCTTTTACCTATTTGGGATGTCCTCTTATCAGAGGTAGAGTTAAGAAATGTTACTTTGAAGAGGTGGTGAACAGCTTTAGAAGAAGACTTGAGGGTTGGTATGCCAGACTTCTCTCTGGAATGGGAAGAGTGGTATTGGTGCAGTCAGTACTTAGCTCAATTCCCATTCATATTTTGGCTTGTTTGAATATTCCAAAAGGTATTTTAAGTAAGCTGAACTCTCTTATTGCTGATTTTATTTGGTCTAATCAAATTGGCTCCAGGAGGAGACATTGGGTGTCACTTAATGATATTTCTAAGCCCAGAATAGAAGGTGGCTTGGGAATTAGAAGTTTTGATGAAGTCCAGATGGCATTCAGAAGTAAACAAGTATGGGGCATTCTAAAGGGTTCTTCTTTGTGGGCCAAAGTCTTTCAAGAGAAGTTTTTTCAAGGCAAGCATATGCTAAGATGTAGCAGCAGTGGTGCAGGTTTATCATTTAATGTCTTGAAGCCTTGGTTCAATTTCACAGTACAGAATTCTTTCAAAATTGTTAGAAATGGTCATAACACTGATTTTTGGTGTGATTCATGGTTGGAAACTGGCCCCTTGATTCTTAGAATGGAGAATCTTCCATTGATCTTTCCCAAGATAAAAGAATTATGGAATGGGGTAACATGGCAGCTAAATGAGGTTGCTGAATGGCTTAATCCTCAATTATGTTCTGAAATTGAAAAGGTGGTTTTTGTGAGATCTGAGGAATCTGATAAGCTTATTTGGAAGCATACTACTTCAGGTGAATTTACTGTAAAATCTGCATGGAATCAGCTCAGGAAAGTGGGGAACCAAACTGCTATTGCTAAAGGCATATGGAAACAGAAAATTTTTCCTAGTGCTCAACTTTGCACTTGGAAAATTTTCAGGAAAGCTTTGACTTCTGATGATAGAGTTCAAGATGTGGGAGTTGCAATGGCTAGTAGATGTGTCATGTGTGGTGTGGATGGGGAAAGTGCAGCTCATGTATTTATTGATTGCTCTTTAGCTCAAGCTGTCTGGAGGAAAATTGCTGCAATTATGGAATTTGATATATTTTCAGGAGAGGCTCCTTTATGCAGATTCTTGAGATTGTTGAGAAGGTTTAAAGCTGCTTCTCTCAGTCATAATCTAATCAGAGGGGTATCTATGCTAATTTTTTGGGCCTTGTGGAAGGAGAGATGTAGGAGGAAATATGAGGGAGTATTTTTAAATGCCAATGCTATTTTTCACCAAATAGTGAGTTCTTTAAGATGGCAGGCTTTTCTTATCAGACCTAGATCAAATGATGATGGTAAAGGAAAGGAGTTGTTGAGAGACTTGAGTATTAAAAGTCATTTTTCCTTAATCACCAAGGTTAAATGGATTAAATGGGAACTTCCTCCTCCAAATGTACTAAAGCTTAATGTTGATGGTGCTTCTAAGGGTAAGACTGGATTGTCAGGGGGTGGGATGGTATTGAGAGATCATGAAGGCAAAGTAATTGTTGCAGCTTCCTGTTTTTATGGTATTGGTTCCAATATGTTAGCTGAATGTATGGCATTATTTGATGGTTTACTTCTGATTTTGCAATACAGCCTGACAACATATCAGATTATGGTGGAAACTGATTCTTATATCTTATTTCAA